TGAATAATGTATACCAGATTTCGACTAGGCAAAAAAAAAAAGCAAAACTCAGTGTTAATAAAAAATATAGAGAATACGAAGTAAAAGCAAAAAGAAAAATCTAAACAAAAAGTAACCAAAACAAAAGCAAAAGGGAACTGTGGAAAAACTAAAGATAAAAAACATGCAACAAAACTAAAATTACTATCATGAAAGAGAAACTTACTTCAAAAAAAAGATCAATGTTGTATAACAGTATTTTCACACCCAATATACAATATTATACAACATTATACCCTCATTATAATGTTGTATAATATTGTATAATGATGTAGAACAGTGTATACAAAACTGGATTTCATATTGACCTTCCTTCTTCAACTAGTATGGTTCCCAAAATCAATGTTAATCAAACACAATTAACCCAACACTCAAGATTATTATCATTACAAGCTTTTAGAATAATTTTTTAACTTCACCCCATCACTTTAGAGTTAGATTTTCCAAATCTGAGTTGAACTTAGAGCTTCAAAGCTCTTTCAATGGAGTTTAGAATATGGATGTAACAAAACTTCAATTTTAAATTTGGACACACATAAATCGAGATTCAACTATTTGAGATCTATAAAAATTTATGAAGATTAAGCAACTTAATAGAGAAAATGCTTTAAATCAAGTTTGAGTTCTATAAATATTCAGATCTATGTGAGTGAGAGAAGAGAAAGAAAGGAGAAAGTAAAGAGAGGCGGGTTGAGAGTATAAATTGTGCTGGGGAAAAATGAAAATAAAGAAACCCTAAAAGTGTGTTTGTAATAGTGGTTAAAGGCTGAAAATTTTCTTTCAAATTATGTATAACCTGGGCCAAACTAGGTAAGGACTTCAAACGTGGGCCATTTTCAGTTGGGCTGTTAGGCCAAGTGACAAGGGCGGTAATTATCCCTATAATTAATTCTTTGAATTAAAGTCCATGTATCAGTAGTAATACATATTCTCTGTTTTTATTCTTTAAGAATAGACTTCAAAGCAAGTCTCTCTACATGGTACATCTCAAGACAATCCGTAGTCATAGTAGTACGAGATGAAATATGAAATAAAGGTTGAAGAGTTCTCACAAAGTCTCTAAATCCATCTTTTTCAACAAAAATAAAGCAAAGTTCATCTTTAATAATCATACGAGCTAAAGCCCTCCTACATGCCTCTTGATCAAATTTCCAAGGGATAACTGAAACATCACCTGTTAGATCTTTCGGTTGAAAACCTAATGTTGTCTGGCTTGTTTCTGCCTTGTAGGGATTGGTCGGACATTTGGGAATATGAAATAACAAATGGCTTGTGCCGCTATGCTTGGTATCAGCTACATATTCTTCTGAACAATACTTGCATTTCACTTTTTTCACACCCTCGGCATTAGTGAACTTGTTGAAGCAGCGCCAAGCAATTGATCTTTCTTTAACCATTTTTCTTTTCTTCGAACCAGATTCAGATTCACTGTTGTTGGTTGTGGAATCAGTTGAAGCATTACTTTCACCAACTTTTTCAACAATTTAAAGTTCATTCTGTGTCTCTGCCTCATTTTCCATCTACCAAAACAAAACAAAAAAAATCAAAGTAAAATCAGAAGTAGAAGAATAGAACATGAAAGAGACATAAAAAATAGAACATAAAGCCAAATCGATACATACATACAAAAATTGAAAAAAGACAACATGAAAATTCAAAATAATGATCTTGTAATTGTCACACCTCCTTTTTTTACCCCGGAAGGGTATAGGGGAATTTTTCCAATTAAAGTGACAATAACCGAAACGGAATTATTTATATCAAATTCAGAGTCACCACTTGGGATAATTTATGGTGTCCCGTCACCGGTTTAAAATCCCGGATTGAGGAAGTTGACTCTTATTTATGGTCTGCGAACATAGAAATCCGGGTAAGGAATTCTGTTAACCCGGGAGAAGGTGTTAGGCATTCCCGGGTTTCGTGATTTTAGCACGGTCGCTCAACTATTGATATTGACCTAATTTTCTGATTTATTACACATTTAAACCTACGCACATCTTTTAACTTTCTAGCCGCTTTTAATGTTTTTTAGGAAAATTCATGATCGTCATACACTTGTCGTTTTGGTATACATTACAAACCGCATCACATGAAATGCGCCCGCGATTTACAACATGTTTATTTTTATTATATTATTCAAAATTATGGTAGGGTCACATGAAATGCACACCCGAATTGAGTTTGAACACGTCGCGATGGCGCGCGCTCGTCTATTTTTGTACACATTGCGAATCGCGTCACATGATATGCACTCGCGGTTTACAACATGTTTATTTTTATTATTATTAGAAGTTAAGGTCGGGTCACATGAAATGCACACCCGAATGGGATTCACGACATGTTTATGCTAGCTCTTTTATAGACTAGCACATCCAAAGGCAATCATAACCCATCTACATAACATAAGAGCAGCAACACAAATCAAAGTCCCTACATGATTAATGCCAAACAAATGCTCTAACGTAGTGCGCAATGGACTTTTGATGCATCACTGAATGTAAAGTAGAAATACATGCTGAATAAACTACTGCACAAGATCGAACATCAGTAGGAATAAAAAAAGATTTCATTTTCAATTTTTTGCAAGCAGAGAGCTATGCATTCTTACACCATATCTCTTTTCTGTAAAACTTACCTATTTCCTTGCTATTCGATTCAATTATGTCACTGCCAAGCCACTATTAAGCACTTGCAGTCATACACATGACGAACAAAAACCAGAACACAAATTTAATATCTTCCACATGCCAACAATAACTTCTTATAACAGTAAAGATCAATCTACACGAATAGGATGTAAGCTAAGCAATTTATGAACCAAAAACTACTCCCTTGGCTTTGTGAAATGTGTTTCCAAAATGCAGAAAAATGGAAATTATTAACCCAAGTATCACAATCCTAAAACTCCATCCTATAAGCCTCTTAAAACTGGAATTACCTTAGCTTCCTTTGCAATATAATACCAATTATCGCAGTAGCAGTGTTATGTATTGATGCTAAAACGTCTAGTAAAGGCAACAAAAGCAAATTCCACTTAGAAAATACTAAAGTTTAAATAGAGATAAAGACAAAGCAACGAATGCCTACAATCAGATATACCAACAATTTGACATTAGATAATGGACCCTTAATTAACTATAGTCTTCTAACAATGAGATGAAATCACCCAAAAAGAAGAGTTAAAAACTTGACAAACTAGTCTCCAAACTAGAACTGATTCGCATAATAAACTTGACGAACACATATGAAATTAGCAAAAAACGAAGAGGACAGGCCAGCAACATATTTCAATCGCAACCACGAAAGTAACATATCAAATAACAGAGAAGAGGAGGACAGATGAACCTGAATTGCTTTTGATATTTTTGAATCTTCAACGATTACAATCTAATGAGAGTTCCAACAATTGAACTCGAAAGGAAGATGAAACAAACAGCAGCAACAAATTCGAACAAGGACCGAGCCAAATCGGAACCTCGAACCAGAAACCTCGACTAAAATCGCACGGAACCGGAAAACTTCAGCAACCAGGCAGCAAATTTCGACCTCAAAAACCCCTTTGGAATCCAGATATTTAGAAACCTTTTCCTGGTTTTCAGATCTTTCGGAGTTGTGCGATTTTTCTGTGTAACTTTCAATTCCCAAAGATGATTTTTCAGAAGAATCCTAACTTTTGTGTGTGTGTGTGTATAGTGAGTCTGGGCGGCTGGAATTTGCTTTCTCTTGGGGTGGGAGACAGCGGCGGCCAGGTGTGGAGGAGATATGGTGGTTTGCGGCTGGGATTTTTAGGTGTTCAGAAGCAGGCGTCGTTGGTGTTGAAGAAGAACAGAGGTGTTCTTAGGCTATGAAATGAAGAAGAACGGCGTGGGTGGTGGTCTCATTTTTTGTTACTGCCGTTGATTTTTTTAGGTCCTAGGCGTTAGGTCCCTAGGGTTCTAGGGTTATTTTTAGGTTAGGGGAGTATAGGCTTAGATTTAGGGGCTTGGGAATTATGTGCTAGATCCGAATTGGGCAAAATTTTGGACAAATTTCCCTTTTAAAATGACCATTTAACTCTACTAGACTAAAAAATATTAATTCCTAAATAATAACTATAAAATTGTGAAATCATTCCTAGTTAAAATAAATTACTAGAATTAAACTAAATACTAAAAGTGAAATTATTCTTGTATATTTTTTTTAATTTTATGAAAGATAGATAAACTAAAAGTAACTAAATAAAATATCAATTAGCTAAATAAGAGAAAATATTTTTGTAGTTTTTATTTTTCGTGACAAAATAAAGTAAAAGAGTCAGAACTAATTGAAATAGTCATATTAGGCCTAAACTAAATATTTATATGCTAAAATATGTAAAATCTTGGGGAGGGTCAAAAATCACATGTCTACAGTAATCTCTCTCTAACTCACACAAAAAAAAAAAAGACACAAAAAACACACGTTATTGGATTTCTGTCGTGAAATAAAAGGTGAAAAACATCACATTTGAGCTCTAAGAGAGGGAAAAAGCAACAATGAAACCAATAATAACTAATAGTTAGAGAGAATGTCAGTCTTACCGTCGATTAGGGTTTGTGTCGTTTTCTCTTGATTGGAAATCAAACTGTGAAGACTTGAGACTTCGAGAGGATGAGATTTGGATTTTGGACTTTGGAGTTTTCTACTTCACTAGACATTGGAGTTCACTGACTGGAACTAGACTTAATTACTGAAGAGTGAAGAGCGAAGAGTGAAGAGTGAAGAGAGGCAGAAGTTTGGTCTTCACTGGACTGAACTTTGAAGAGAGGCGGAAGAGAGGACATATGTAAGAGTGAGAGAGAACATCGATATAACCTAAGGGGTTGTCTGATAAATGAATAAGCTTAACCCTATAATTTTAGGGTAGTATATATATATATATATAGGCCCATATAAGTTCGGATTTCGGATCGGATTGGATTAAAATCGTACCAATCCGAAAATCCGAAATTTTATAAAACATAATCTGTATCCAATCCGAAATCCGAAATAGAGTGGATCGGATCGGATTTCGGATATCCGATCCAAATGCACAACCCTAATTTGGGGAGGCCGGGTTTGGTCAGAATGGCTAGGGTTTGGGGGAGGGTAGATTAATTAAAAGAAGGGGCGAATAAGGGTCGTTGATCTTGAAAGATCAATGGCCATGATTGAAGGAGGGGTTTGGGTCGGGTATAAAACGGGTATTGGGTAAGGGCTATTTGGTTTGGGCTGGGGCGAATTGGGCTAGGATTTTAAGTAGTTGGGCTGGGGTAAATTGGGTTGATTTGGGTAGTTTTAGATCCGAAATTAAATAAAAATGGGGCCAGATTTTAAATACCAGTTTTAATAAATAAATAATTTATAATAAATAATAAATGAATACCAAAAATATCCTTTGTGCACTAAAATGACTTAAAATAGTTGTTTAACATTTTAAACATATAAAAGATTATTTTTTGCATAAATAATATAATTATACATTAATATGGGCTATTATTGCAAAGATGTACAATTTAGTCTAAAGGATGCAAACGTAATTATAAAAATGCACTAAAAATATTTATAACCTAATATGGATGTAAATGATAAAATTAGATGACAAAATCATTATAAAAATAATTTATGATGCAATTAATGAGCGTTTACACAATAAAATGTGGGAATAAATTAATTTAAAAATCTTTTAAAATTATAGAAAATTGGAAAAGTGCTTGTAGGTGTTTATAAATCAAATGATGATGCATATGTACTATTTTGAATGTATATATATATATTTAAAATATATGAGGAAAAAATTGGGTATCAACAACTGGAGAGTGATGACTGAGTGAGGTCGAGAGCCTAATTATAAGTGACAGTTATGGGATCGGGCTGCACCCCGCAGTAGTTATATTGATGATTATGATAGCGCTTGGGCTGTAGGAGCCCCTCCGGAGTCTGTAACACACTCCCAGTGAGCGCAAATAATATTATTGAGGGATGGATTTTCCTGGACATGGATTTGTCCGAAGTATTGATATATGGAGATGGATTTCTCCACATGGTTGGAGTACCCTTTTCCTCGGTACCGAGTGACTTATAGTCAGTGATGAATATCTTCCGGAATGGATTTCCTTGGGTCAGATGGCCATATGTGGTACAGAGTGGTTAAGTATATGTATATATATATATATATATATATATATATATATATATATATATATATATATATATATATATATATATAGATGACTTGCAGTCAGTGTTGTATATGTTCCGCGATGGATCTCCCTGGGCCGGATGGCCATATGCAGTACCGAGTGGTTGCGCAATTGAGAGTTGGAGCACATGGCGCATTTCATACATTCTATGCATTGGCATGTAGAGTTAGCTGAGCTTTATATCTCACATTGTTTGGATCTGTATTTTTTTTACCGCTTGAGCTGTATACTTGAACTGATAGCATGCCTACTTTTCCTGCACAGTTTATCTCTATTACTTGTTGAGGTTAAGTTCGTCACTGCCTATCAGTCCATAGTTTGGACTTGTTACTTACTGAGTTGGTGTACTCACGTTACCCCCTGCACCTTGTGTGCAGATCCAGGTATCTCTGGCCACAGTAGCGGCTGTTGACTATTCCAGTTGCAAACTTTCATCGGAGATAGCAAGGTAGCTGCTTGGCGATCGCAGTCCTGCTTTTCTCCTTCTTTATCTTCCCTTTAGTGTATTTTGGCTACTATTAGACTATGTATGTCTTGCTATATTTCAGAACAGTTGTAGTAGTTGCTCATGACTTAGTGACACCCCGATGTCGGGCTATTTATTTCCTCATTTTGTTTTTGAGTTGATCTCTTTTATGAAATTTCAGTATGAAAAAGGCTTTTATTTATCTTGTAATGAAATATCGAATTGTTTGGGAGTGTGTTGGCTTGCATAGCTCCATGATATGCACTAGCACGACCGGGTAAGTTTTGGGTCGTGACAAGTTGGTATCAGAACCTAGGTTACATAGTTCTCACGAGTCATGAGCAGGTTTAGTTGAGTCTTGCGGATCAGAACCTTTAGGATGCAGAACCTTTAGGAAAACTTCACGTCTTAGGGTTTAGGGTTTTTTTTTTTAAGCAATCCACTAGGCAGAGCCTAGGGCTAGTTTTTATTTATAAATATAACAAAACAAGCACAGTGTCATGAAATCCTAACGGATGTACGAAAAGGAAATATAATTCTACATAAGACCTATTATCAAAATTGAGCATTATACTCAAAATTGATATCACAAAAATTCTACTCAAAATTGCATCAAAACTAGTCCAAGAAAATAAATCACAGCAGCCCACTCCACAAAGAAGGAGACACGGCCAGCCCAAAAGAACACTTTGCGCCGATAGCCTCCAAATTACACCTCCAGCCCAAACGCATGAATTGCAGAAATAGCCATGACCTGTTGCAAATTGCAATTTAAGCCACAGTGCATGAGTGCTACTGATTTGCACAAACAGCCTCCCCTGTATCAGCCCCATTAAAATTGCTACTGCTTTGCAGAAATAGCCACAGCCTACTGTAATATCTCCAAACTCCTCAACTTGCAAAAGTAGCCACATTAGTCCATAATTACCCATTGCATAAAACCCAGTCCTGCATTACTGGGTCCACCAATTTCATATACAGGCCCAGTTATACCGGTTTGCATGCATAACCCCTATAAGCACAAACTACTCATATTTGCAAATATAACCCCTGCACTCTCACATTTCCTAATGTACGCGTGTATCCCACTATACACCCCTTCATTACACCTAGCTTCCCATATGTATCTTTTTGTCGTTTCATTTCCACCTGTTTCCGCCCTAGGTAATATCGACCTCCTCTCTCTTCCTTCTCTCTACTGTCTACTTCATTTTTGTTCAAATCAAATCGACTGACTCCATTTCTTTTGTGAATCTTCTTGTATGTACCTGAATCAATGGTGTTGGAGGACTGAAGATGGACCTCACAAAGCTCCTGTTTAACTGTAGCTGCTCTGAAGAACCGATGTTGCCAAGCTTCAGAGACATCGTCAACCACACCCTTCTGCACCTCAGTGGAGTTACCTGTGAGAACTTCAATCGAGTTTGTACTCTCCCCTCCCCGATAGATTGGTGTAATAGAAAAACCTGGATGTATTTCCTTGCTGTACCCCTTGTCCTTCTCTATTTCCTTATCCTTTTGCATCATCCAGTTAAAATCACTAGCATTGATGATTTTACTGTCTGCAAAATGTGCAAATAAAAGCCCCAAAAGCTGTGCATGCTTGTTCTGTATGTCTGACAGTGTTGTCATGTTTGTACAAAACAATCCTGCAATCTTGTATGATATCTTGCAATTGCTCTTCTTTGCAACCCCTCTATACTCTAGATTTAACTAACTCCGGTGGATTGAGTACCTAGTACTAATACCACCACCTGGAGCTTCCTTAAAACCAAAGAGTATAGATATGATTGCTATAACTGTAGACAAACCACAT